CGCGATCAAGACTATTTAAGCTTATGGGTAAGGTAAAGGTATGAGGTGGAGTTGCAGCAAGCGACTAGCATATATGGTGGCTAACATACGCAAAAGAGAGCGAGAAGAGAAGGCAAAGCACGATCGAGAAACTATGATCAAGAAGTGATCCTAGGACAACCTACGTCAAGCATAACTCCAACACCGTGTTCACTTCCCGGACTCCGCCGAGAAGAGACCATCACGGTAACACACGCGGTCGATGTATTTTAATTAAGGTCAACTTCAGGTTTTCTACAATCGGACATTAACAAATTCCCATCTGCCCATAACCGCGGGCACGGCTTTCGAAAGTTCAAATCCCTGCAGGGGTGTCCCAACTTAGCCCATCACAAGCTCTTACGGTCAACGAAGGATATTCCTTCTAGCGGGAAGACCCGAACAGACTCGGAATCCCGGTTACAAGACATTTCGACAAGGTAAAACTAAACCAGCAACACCGCCCGAATGTGCCGACAAATCCCATAGGAGCTGCACATATCTCGTTCTCAGGGCACACTCAGATTGTCTAAACTTCCGGTAGGCCAGCCCAGAGTTGCCCCTGGTGGCCACCGGCGGCTGACAGTTTGGACCAACACTCAGAGGAGCACTGGCCCGGGGGGTTAAAATAATGATGACCCTTGAGTCTGCAGAACCCAAGGGAAAGAAAAGGCTAGGTGGCAAATGGTAAAACCAAGGTTGGGCATTGCTGGAGGAGTTTTATTCAAGGCGAACTGTCAAGGGGTTCCCATTATTACCCAACCGCGTAAGGAACGCAAAATCCGGGAACATAACACCGATATGACGGAAACTAGGGTGACAAGAGTGGAAAAAAACACCAGGCATAAGGCCGAGCCTTCCACCCTTTACCAAGTATATAGATGCATTAATTAAATAAGATATATTGTGATATCCCAACAAGTAAACAATGTTCCAACAAGGAACAATCTCCATGTTCCAACAAGGAACAAACTTCAATCTTCACCTGCAACTAACAACGCTATAAGAGGGGCTGAGCAAAGCGGTAACATAGCCAAACAACGGTTTGCTAGGACAAGGTGGGTTAGAGGCTTGGTTCAACAGTATGGGAGGCATGATAAGCAAGTGGTAGGTATCGTAGCATATGCATAGCAAAAGAGCGAGCAACTAGCAAGCAAAGATAGAAGTGATTTCGAGGGTATGATCATCTTGCCTGAGATCCCGCAAGGAAGAAGAACGAGTCCATGAAGAAGACAAACGGACGTAGTCGAATGGATCCTCACAAACGCAACGTTATCGGAACCAACCCGAAGAAGCAACACCGGAAAGAAGCAAACAACATGGTAAACAACCATCACATAAACATGGCATGATGCACAACCAAGAATGATGCATGTCCGTTTAAATATGCATGGCATGGCAAAAAGCACAAACAACTCTCCAAGTTAAGTGGAGCTCAATATGCAACAAGTTGCATATTGACGACACACCACATCAAATATTTAGTTCTCTCTTGGTTAGATACTCAACAATTTAAATGTTGGTTAACATGGCAAGAGGTGAAGCATATGAAAACAAACTAACTAGGCAAGTTTAAATGAGGCCGGAACAACAAACAATAATTCCGGTAAATCCCCATATGCATTTATCAATTTGGTACAACAACAATTTTTAAACATTTAAATGTTATTATCATGATGCGAATGACATGTGCAAGTTATGCATATTTATTAAAAGTTGATAAGAGCATTATGAAGCATTTGTCACCGTGGTGGAAAGAAAGGGAGTGCCACGGCAACGATAACGGTTCCGGTAGCTCATGGAAATACCGGTGCAAAAGGAAAAGTGACGGGAGCATGCAAAAGATGGTGGGGTGATCCCGGTTACCGGGTTCCCACGAGTCAACGACGGCATGGCAACAAGGAGGAACCACTAACGTTCACGGGCGAAAACAACAACTAAACATGCATCTCATACAACACATGCTTTCGTCCATGGGTCATCGTCTCGGCGGTTATACCTTCCAGGGGCATTCTCGGAGCGGTTCGGGTTCGTAGAGGAAGTAGAGGAAGTAGTCGTCCACGGCGACGGTAGTTGTACACGGGCCTTCGGCCACGGAAGTAGTCGTACAACGTTTACGTAGAGGGACTTGGTCTTGCGAAGAGGTACTTGACGGTAGTGGTACTTGACGCGTTCGAGGGTCGTTCATGTCATGGTACTTGGCAAAATCCTCGGAGAAGGTGCTTGACGGGTTCGAGGTGTCCGGACGTAGTGGTACATGTTCGTTTTTCGGAGAGGTACTTGGCATTCTTCGGTCATAGGTACTTGACGTTCTTAGAGGTTCCGAAGACGGTGGTAGATGAACATGACGCGTCGCCATGGTACTTGTTGGTCTTGAGGGTCGAGGTAGTGGAACTTGGCGCCATCCGCGAAAACAGTGCTCGTTCAGGCATTGTAGTCGGTCTTGGCGGGTCGTCATGTAGTCGTGCATGTGTCTTCGGCAGCACCAGGATGCATCTTGGCGGTCTCGTCTCGGTCTTCACTCCAAAACGAAGCAAGGCAAAAGACTCGGGGCGGTGGTACTTGGCGGTCCACAGCAAAGAGGAACCCTGAAGGGGTGGCTCGCGGAAGAACACCACAGCGAGGCGGCGAGGCCAGGGGAGGCGCATCGGCGAAGCAGGGACTCGCGAGCAGAGGAGCAAGTCGCAGCGCTGGTGCAAGGTGGCGACGAGACGAGGTGGCACAGGGCCGGGCGAGGTGAAGCAGCAGGATGTCGACGAGGGGAAGGTGAGGTCGCTGGACGAGACGGCAAGGCGGGTCAAGGGCGGCGGAGCTCCTGGTCGTAGCGGACGGGATCCAGCAACGTGCGACTTCAAGGAAGCTCGATGAAGGGGCGCGGCAGGGAACGATGCAGGTCGTGACAATGGCAGCGGCACAGAAACCTCGCTGGTGGCCGGCCGGCGGCAAGGTGCGACGAGGAGGGAGAAGGTGAGGTGAAGCACGAGAAGAAGAGGGAGATCGAAGGGAGGACGAGGATGGGATCGGGGCTCCTCGACCTGTGTGGCGGCGCGAGGGAACGAGGGAAGGGAGAGGGATCGAGGGAAGGGCAGGAGAGACGGGGGAGATCGAAGGGAGGATGAGGATCGGGCGTGGGGGCTGTGGTCGAGCACGGTGGCCTATCTCTCCTGGCGGCGCAAGGGAGGGAAACGAGGGAGACGGCACAGGGTCGAGCGGGGAAGGCTAGGGTTAGGCCTGGGGATGGATGGCCTTGGGCCTTAGGAGGGAAAGGTCTAGGCCTTGGAGGCCGGCCCAAAAGAGAGGAGGAGTCAGCTGGGCTTGCTGGATTGGGCTCTCCCTCTCCTCTCTTTATTCTTTAAATGAAAAGAAAATAGTGAATGAGAGAGAGGAAAAAGAAGGGAGGGGGGGTTAGGGAAAAGAGTTTGAGCAGGAGGACAATTTTCCTAGACTCATAAAAATAAACACGACCACAGAAAAATAGAAGTGGCAAGATGCAGGAATTAAATTCAAATTCTTTTGAATATACTTCAAATGGTTTTGAATTGGGACTAGGTTCGGTGTGGCCAAAATGTTCGGGTTTTTTTGGTGGATCTCCGTGCTATGATGAAAGAATATATGGCAATGTTGGAGACCAAGACTTAAGATAACAATGGCATTGGGATATTTGCAAGTGTGTTTATGGGTGAATCCAAATTATTGGAATATTTAATATAGCTCCCTAATATCGGGAGGATATGTTATAAAGAGAATCACCACATGAATTCCCTCGGTTTAAATGGATCGAAGATCCATACGGTTTATTTAGTTGAGTTAAGAAAAGAAATGACATGATGGCATGATGACATGATGCAATGCACACGATGCAAAGATGAATGCAACAGACGAAACAAATCACACAACGAAACCCGGAAACCCTGGAAGGCATCTGAAGCTCCGGTCTTGGGGCGTTACAATGTGTGACTAGATCTTATTTATTTGAGAGTTCTTCTTGTGTTCCTCTTTGATTTGCTCCCCCCCTCCATGTGTGAAAAGACCACCTATTAGGGTTCTACCCTTCATCATTGGGGATATCTAGGATTACACATGGTCGGTTGCCAACTAGGAATAAACACGCCGACGGTTGGAGCAGTCCTTCAAGTACACGCCAAGTCTTCGGCGGTATCCGTCTTGATCATGTCGGGGTTCAAGGCTTCTGGGGTCCTTCCTCGTGAGATAGGCGGGTCGTAAGCTCGGCCAATGGATTATGGGCCCACTAGGTTGGTAACCCCTAGTCCAGGACACCCTCAATCTTGGAGCGATTTTTTGTTTCTACTACGTTTTCCAACAGCAACACATGCAACATAAGAGCTACTCTACGTGATCAAACAACATAAAACGGAATCGCCATCAAACCGACAACCAAACGCACATAAACAAATTGTTTATCATCCAAAAAATCATTGGAGCTCATCGCCGGACAAGTTCTTAAGTTCAACAACTAAAAAAAAGATAATAAACACAGGAGCACGAGCATCTTCACCACTTCCTTGTCGGGCATTTTCCTATCCGATCGCCGGCGTAGCTGTAGGCGTTTGCAGTTGGTCGAGGATCTTGGTCATCGGAGGAGGTGGAACTATGGTTGGTCGTCATCGTCGCTGTCCTGCCTTCGCCGCTGCATCCTTCTCCTCGCGCTCCGACTGCTTTATGGCAAGCCGGAGCGCCTTCGCGTTCTCCCGCCGTAGGTAGCGAGCGTGCGTCTCCGCCATCGTGAGCGATCAACGGTAGACCCAGCGAGGAGCCGCTCCTCCTCGCTGGGCTCCGCTAGCAACCGGGTTGTGATGGTGGTGCGTGGACTGCTCCGCTGTGTCCCTCTCCCTTGCCCGCTTCCTCTCGCGGCGGGTGGTGTGTGCCTCTGATTCCAGGGTGCACATGCGGGCCAGCGACACGGGCACTAGCACCCACCGCTGGACCGCGCGGAGCAGCGACCGGTGGGGGAAGGGGACACCATGGGGTCAGAGCGGACTGCGCTGCCCCTGGCGGTGCTGTGCTCATGCTGGGAGGAGTCAGCTCCGACGTCCGCCCAACACCGGCGCAGGAGGTGCAGCGACGCTGTAGATCCGAAGCTATCCCAATGTCCACCTTGGACCGCTCCAAGACAATGCAGAGGGTCAGCTCCTCGTCGATGTTGAGGACAGAGCCGGAGTGGTTGCCGGAGCTCGACATTGCATAGGATTGGATCAGAATCAGAGAGGGAAGAGGAGAGGACGGAGCGAGAGACCAGATTGAGTGAACTAGGGTTCCGAGCGAGGAGCTGAATTAGGGTCTTTTATGGAAAAGCCGTGAGGTCGATGGTGGGACGTGCTGTCAGCAGACCGTTTTATATCTGCCCTACATTTGGGCTGGATACACGAGACGCCGGATAACCTGAACATTTGAGGCCGGTTTAAGGCGCGCGGTGGAACCGGTCCGGCCATTCATTTGTTCGAGTTGCTGTAACCTACCGCATTAATGTGCAGACGTAAAATTCCCCAACAAATTGAGTTCGTCCGTAGCGGCTCAACGACACGTCCCCGCTCCTACCTGGCGGCGATCAGCCTCCGGCCACAGGAGATGGGCACCACCGCAAAGCCCCCTTCCTTCGTCTGCTTGAAGTGGCCTTGGGGCCCTAGCCTTAATGCGAGCCCTAGCGGCAGCCCAAGCCCCTGCGGTGACCTCGAGCGCCCCTGGCTCTTCAAGTCCATCTCGACCGTCGCGCAAGGCCTCGTCATCGCCGGTGACATCCCCTCCGCTTCCACTGGAAGCGGAGGTCATGGGGCGAGGTTGTGGAAGCGTCACCCGGGCACCGCGCCGGTGGAGGCGTACCGCGGGGACGCGGAGCAGCGGGCGCTGGCGGCGGCGCTGGTGAGCGCGAGGGCGACCACGGTGCTGGAGTTCTACTCGCCGCGCTGCCGCCTCTGCTCATCGCTGCAGGGCCTCGTGCGCGAGCTCGAGGACGGTGGCAATGCATCCGCGAGCTTCGTGCTCGCGGACGCCGAGGATGACCGGTGGCTCCCGGAGGTGAGGGCGTCTCCTCTTGTTCATGCCGATTGCGTTGCTATCCATATTCTCTACATTTATGCTGTTAATTTTCCTATCAATCGATGGATTAGTCTCGTTAGCCTCGTTGCTCTAATTATTTTTTGTCGGAGCTGGTGCAACGTGTGGTGATTTGTAGAGAACTGAGGTTATAAACACTGATATTTCCGGAGAAGGTTGGTTTTTTTTTAGAACGAAGACGCAAGAAGCGTCCGGCTTTAAATTAATAAAGCCCACCAACAGGCAGCATCCAACAGTTGTAACAGAAACAAACAAAAGGAAGTCTATGGCCGAAGCCCAAGTGAGATACATGCAACCGGCCTTTAGCCTGAATAAGATGGAACTAGACAATAACACACAGGAGAAGGTTGGTTGCTTATAAAAAAATTTCGTTAGCATATGCTGGGATGGTATTGAAGAGTCAAGTGCAGTTATTTTCATTTAAAATCAAACCCTGTGGTGTGCTTGCATTTCAGTTAGTATGTGAATTGGGTGTTGAAAGTTTCTGCTTTAGGTTCCACTTCCTTGAAAGCCACGTGTTAACTCATAAAACGGTAAATGAATGAGGACGAGCTTCTTATCTTAGATGTGGTTATGTCAATCCCTGTTCCACAACCCACAGTCAGCTGTATTGTTTGAGATCAAAGAGTTGTGGTGTTTACACTTCACACTGATTTATGTGCTGCAATGGTGGCATCAGTGGACATAGTTTGCAGTCATTAGTGTGTATTGGTGAAGACTCTTGTTACTGCTAAAGTGTAGCCTCGGTAGAAGCAACAATTTGTTGGAACTTGAACATGCCTCCTGACTGTCAGGTTACAGCCAATCGTTTAACTGTGTTATCCTCTCGTCATCTGAAGGTTAATGATGGAGTGAGTAAATACCATGCAGATGAATGGCTCAGACAGTGCAACTTGAGGAGCATGACATGCTAGACTAAGGAGAAATAGACTATACATGAGAGAGCACTTCAGATGAGGATTAGACATGGTTCCTAATCTCCAGGACATACAGTGCGCGCCCCTATATAGTATAGTGATGACCGGACCCCAATTACTGATTATGTGGACTGGGATACAGACCCTTGGTTAACCTATATCTACCATCTGGCTCAATCTCTAATATGTTGTTCTTTTCATACGATTCAACTTCTTAATCCTCATGGGCCCCAGGCTCTTGCTGCATTCTGCTGCTAGTGTTAGTTTCGGACTCCCGAACAACCTGACTGTCTTGCTGCTGTCGGATGTCCTGGCCATTGTTGCCGAATGTATTGCTGCCATGATGCTCCTATTGCCTTGCCTTGCGCCCTAGCCCCTTTGTCCGCAACATCCTCTTTCTGCACAGACATGGCTATTCTTCTTCTACTTAGCATCGATCAAGCGGTATTATGCATATGCTATTGTTTACTTTAAGGAACTCTGTTACGGATATTTGATGTGCCAAAAAAAAAGGGCTAGGGCATGCATTTGAAGGTGCTAGGTAGTATTTACTAGTAATGGTATCCTTTTTTAGAACAGTAATAGTGGTACCTTTGTTAGTAGGTCCACATAGGTTTTCAAACACATGTCCATACCATGGAACAAGCCCCTAGTGCTTGGAAAGTTGGAAGTAAGCACTTGGGCAATGAAGATGGTGGGCTTAGTTGAAGGATAAGCAGACGACAGTTCAGGATAAGTATAACAGAAGCTTGACTGATGCTAAATTTGGTTATTTTGTGCGTTAAGGTTGTTTGAATATCTGACCTGCTAATCATTTCAAACATGGTAGATCTCTACTTTGGTTCTAACTGTGTCAGCAGCACTGCTGTCGGTTTCTGCAGAAACATTGGCCCATTCTGCTTTCCCATTTTGAGAAAGGGTTGCTCAGTTGCTAGACCTAAGTTCTTTGAAATTGTACTAAAAACTGTTCCAGTCTCGCAGACACCCTAAACCATCCACCAACTCACTCAGGGTTCCAATTCGTTTAGGGTAGAGAGGGACTGGACTCGGTCTCTTGTGATGTTCTGGGAAGTTGAACTAAATTCCCTCCCTACATGAAGGGATTGGGTAAATTCCCACCATTCCAAAAAAGTTTTATTGCATGTTAGTGGTCTATATCAGTTACTGAAAACAATTTTTTATTTATACTAGTCTCCTTTATGGCTCACAGGCTCAGCTTACCAAGCTCACCGAAGATGCTATTTTTCTTGACATTGTTTGTTTTGAGGTTGCTTACCGCGTGCTCTCCTTCACACCCGGTCTTTCTTCTGTTGCTAATCTCCTCTGATTAGTGACAATTTCTGTAACTCTCTCTTCTGCTAAGCCAATGAAAAGCCAGGAAACTGGGTCTTTTAAAAAAAAAGGACATACACCATGTGGTTACTGAAGATGCTACTAGTACTATGGGTTGTCCATATTCACAGTATCTGCGCATGCTTGCATATCCATGATGTTTCCACTCTGAAGTCTGATGCTTCCAGCTTTAACAGCGACAATTATATGTATATTTGCAGCTTCTGCATTATGATGTCAGACATGTTCCTTGTTTTGTGCTCCTGGACAAGAATGGTAGAGCCCTAGCTAAAACCGGAGTTCCAACTAGCAGGCAGCATGTTATCGCTGGCCTTCATCATCTTCTTAACATGAAGCAACCATCTGGGCAGGAAGGAAAGAAGAGTCGATCATGATGACAATTTCTTGCGCATGATCTGTAATCATGGATCGTATCTGATAACACATTTTGTTTGTTAACCAAGCATAGACAATGTTGGAAAAAATATTTTTAGCCAACTCATATATGGTCAGAATTCTAGAAGTTGATGTGGTGTAATTAGAATGTGGGAGATTGTGCTGCTTTTGTGTCCTTTTTCCTGATGAATAGCGGTGTATCTGAATATACACGCTGGAATATTCTTCTGAAATAATTCATCATGATTTCTGTTTTGCTGTTCAGGCTGCAGGTGGGACTGCTCGTGGGTGTCCCACCTCTGCCCGCTTCGTCCCAATACAACTTCTTTTTGGGAAACACTATCCATCTGTAGTCTTATATGAGCACATCGTCAGACCACGTGTAAGCTGTTGATTCATGCTCGATCTCACGGCAAGAGACCACTACAAAATCCTCTTTAATTGCCCCCTTCCGTTTTTCATGCATCACCTTCCGGTAATCCCTCACCCCGTTACCTTTCTCCCGAATCAATCACCACCCCCGTGTCCGTCTCCTACCTCCCGACCCTCCATTGTCGGGGTCAACATCCACCCCGCTACCCTTGTACTCTCTACCAGGGGTTGGATCCTGTTGGGGATATAACTATCAGATATGACCCGCACAGAAGGGGATGGGTCAACCACAATGGCGGTTCATCTAAATGAAGCCTAAGAGTATACAAGATAGCGGTTCACAGTTAGGCTTATAAGAGCCCCAGGCCCAGAGGCGACTTAAGGCCCGTATGTGTAGACTTGTAATGTAAGACATGTAAGATACGTCACCGAGCCGAACACGTTGTATGAGCCGGCCGGGACTCTGTAGGGCGCAGGGCGTCAATCCATGTATATAAAGGGACGACCCGGTGGCGGTTGAGGGCAAGAAACATTAGATCGAGAGCCAGACAAAGCGTGTTTGCTCCCTGGTAATCGAAACCCTAACAATACCACCTCAAACTGGAGTAGGCTTTTTGTAACACCCTCGATGCGACTATAGCTCCCACGTGTCGAGGCACGACTTAGAGACATAATCGCATTGAAGGCATATGTCGCAAGTTAGGCAATCATCACAAACATCCCAAGTAATATAATAATAAAGGGGAGATAACATAGTTGGCTTACACTCGCCACGTCAATCAAGGTACATAAATAACATTATATCATCCAAATACTCATGACCCGACTACGGCGCCAAAATAAAAGATAACCCAACATGCGACACGGTCCCGATCACCCCCAACTGGGCACCACTACTGATCATCAGGAAAAGAAACATAATAACGTTGAGAGTCCTCGTCGAACTCCCACTTGAGCTCGAGCGCGTCACCTGGAGCGGAATCATCAGGCCCTGCATCTGGTGTAATAGTAATCTGTGAGCCCCAGGGACTCAGCAATCTCGCACCCTCGCGATCAAGATTATTTAAGCTTATAGGTAAGGCAAGGTAAATATAAGTGGAGCAGCAGCAAGCGACTAGCATATATGGTGACTATCCTGTTCGCAAAAGAGAGCGAGAAGAGGAGGCAAAGCGCGAGCGAGAAACTAGAGGACAACCTGCGCAAGCATTACTCCAACACCATGTCCACTTCCCGGACTCCACCGAGAAGAGACCATCACGGCAACACACTCAGTTGATTCATTTTAATTAAGTTAAGGTTCAAGTTATCTACAACCGGACATTAACAAATTCCCATCTTCCCATAACCGCGGGCACGGCTTTCGAAAGTTCAAATCCCTACAGGGGAGTCCCAACTTAGCCCATGACAAGCTCTCACAGTTAATGAAGGAATAGACCTCCTCCCGAGACGTTCCGATCAGGCTCGGTACCTCGGTTCTTCAAGACACTTCGACATGTTAAAACAAGGCCAGCAACACCGCCCGAATGTGCCGACAAATGCCGATAGGAGCTGCACATATCTCTTTCTCAGGGCACACTCAAATTGTCTTAGGTACGGGTAGGCCAGCCCAGAGTTGCCCCTGGTGGCCACCGATAACTGACAGGTGGACCAACACTCAGAGGAGCACTGGCCCGGGGGGGGGGGGGTTTAAATAAGATGACCCTCGGGCTCCGGAAACCCAAGGGAAAAAGAGGCTAGGTGACAAATGGTAAAACCAAGGTTGGGCATTGCTGGAAAAGCTTTAATCAAGGCGGACTATCAAGGGGTTCCCATTATAACCCAACCGCGTAAGGAACGCATAAATCCGGGAACATAACACCGATATGACGGAAACTAGGGCGGCAAGAGTGGAACAAAACACTAGACGAGAGGCCGAGCCTTCCACCCTTTACCAAGTATAAAGATGCATTAATATAACAAGATAATATAATGATATCCCAACAAGTAAATAAAGGTTTCAACAAAGAACGGCCTCTAATCTTCACCTGCAACTAGCAACGCTATAAGAGGGGCTGAGTAAAGCGGTAACATAGCCAAACAACGGTTTGCTAGGACAAGGTGGATTAGAGGTTTGACATGGCAATATGGGAGGCTTGAAAGCAAGTGGTAGGCATCGTAGCATTGGCATAGCAAAAGAGCGAGCATCTAGCAAAGCAAAGATAGTAGTGATTTCGAGGGTATGATCATCTTGTCTGCAAAGTTGTCAGAGTTGACTGGATTCTCGAAAGCAAACTCAACGGGCTCCTCGTTAGCGAACTCGTCTCCCAGGTCTACCCAAACAAGACAAACAAGCAACAAGGACACAATCAACCACGTGCAAGGGTCAAACAACATGATGCAAGGATGGTATGCTATGCGGGATGCGATGCGGGATGCAGATGCAAGAATTGACAAGGGATGCATGACCCTGGCCTCAACTTGGAAATCCAAGTGTGCCACTGGAAAGATGAGATGAAATCGCTTGAAAACGATATAAAGAACGCCGGAATCGGAGTTACGGCTTGGAAATGGCAAGCGATTCAAATATGACACCGGTCTGCGATTTACAGCAAGTAGCCATCTAAATGCAATGAGAAGAACATGCTACAGCACTCAAACATGACAACAAAATACATGGCAGGGATGCATTCAAGATGCTTAACAAAAGTCTAGCACTGAGCTACGGCCAATTCATCCATTATCAGGTTCAAACAAGAATGGCAAAAATGCATATGGTAAACAGATCTCAGACTTAGTGAAATTAACACTTGTCTGGAATTTCAGATCAGGTAGCACTCTTCGGAGTAACAAAACTACATGCTACAGGACCTGAAGATGGCAAAGTAAAGCATGACATGGAGCTACTCAAAGAGCTTAACAAAAGTCCCTTAGTGACCTTGAGCCAAAAGAGATCAGAAAATACAATTGCAAGCATGTGAACATGGCAAAAACATAATCAGATCACAGACTTAGTGAAAACTGGAGCGTGCTGAAAATAGATATCAAGTAGGCATGTTTACGAGCTCGATGCACTCACTTCGGAGCAAGTCATGACAATCTAAGCATATACCCATCAAGAATACACAAAATGCAAGCTAGACATGACAAAAACAATAGCATAGCATGCACGGATCAACTACAGCATCATCGGCAAAATTGCAAACAAGTTGACAATCTGCCCAGATTCACAAAGTAGCAAAAGTAGAGCTCGATTGACTCAAGTTAGGGTGCTCCATAATTGCAAACAAAGACATGGATGGATAGAGCACTACAAGATTCAAAACATCCTTACTAATCATCCTCAAAAGAGGCACGGATCACTAAGAAACAACAATAACATATGGCATCATGAGATAAACAAATCAAGGACGTAGTGAAATTACTAAGTCCCTGAAATCAGCACTACCAAGTGCCTCATTTTGCAGGCTTGCACTAGTCACCACACACATCACAAAAATACATGGGTTGCACCTCTGGAAAGATGGCAAAACCCTTAACAAAACATATGTAGAGCTCATGGGCATATTATGCACACAATAATCATGGCAAAAATGACAAATATGCAAAATGGAGTAGCAGATCTGACAATTATCTCAAGTAGCCCTCTTCTAACAGCATTTCGGGCATCAAGATGAACTCAAATGAAAATGATGCAATGGAATGAAATGATGTACTCTCTGAGATGAACATTTTGATATGCTATATGCCAAAAACGGATCTACGGATGCGGAGATATGATGCGATGAACAGGAGCACATGGATTAGGGTTTCGGGCGAAAAAGTCAACCCACGTTGGATCTAGATCCAGATCCGGACGGCGTGGATTCCGAGGTTCGCCGGAGAGAGCTCGAACTCGCCGGAGAGGGGGGGGGGTCGCCGGAGCCGGGCCG